ACGGGGCCTGTAGGCCCTGGTTTTCAGGCTTTAAGCCTGAATTTCAGGCTTTCAGCCTGAGGGACGCAGGGCCTGGAAAATGGCCCTCGTGTGCAAGCGCAGCATGTAACACCCCCCCCTCCTTATGAAGTCAAGCCGGGGCGAGGGCGAAGCCGACGATCTGAAGGTGGAACCTGGACACGGGCGCGGCGTGGAGCCGAAGAAACCGGCTTGCCTTGCATCTTGCATTCGTAGCGTGCGAGAACGTCTGGAGCTGTTGCTTGAAGTTCCGCACGGGTCAACCAATGGTCAGCTCGGTGTGTGCAGTATGCAAAATGCACTAAATACTCGGTTGGCCTATTGCCGTAGCGTCGCTGGGAGATGATGTCGCCGACCTCCTGAAAACCATTCATGGAGGGTGGGTCTTGCGAACGTCTCCAACCGTGCTCGAACTCGAAAGGCGATATCCCGATAGTCGGGTGGATGGAAGAGTTGTAGGCCAACTCGACATCCGGCAGCCGCTCAACCCAGTCCTTCTGGTCAGGACGAATGAGAGTGCGAAGAAGAACTTGTGCGGTCTGGTGCGCCCTCTTCGTTTGGCCATCGGTCTGAGGGTGGCGAGCTGAACTGGGCTTGAGAGATGAGCCCCATCGCTTGATGAGCGCCAACCAAAAGTCGGACATGAACCGAGTGTCGCAGTCGCAGACGATTTCCTTGGGGTAACCCTTGGTCGAATCCAACCGGCGTAGAGAACCTCGACCAACTCCGGTGCCTTGGCATGGTAGCGACAAGGCAAAAACATGGCGAACTTGGTGAGTTGGTCGACCACCGTGAGAATCCCATCCACTCCAGTCTTCTGCTTGGGGAACGGGCCAGTAATTTCAATGGCAATCGCTTCCCTTCGCCTCAACGGGACCGGTAATGGTCGTAACTCGCCATACGGACGATGGTTGCGGGATTTGCAGCGTCGACAAACCTCGCATGACTCACAATAGCGTGTGACATCGCCGAGAAGGTCGGGCCACCAAAATCGCTCGCGAAGTCGGCCAATCGTGCGATTGACTCTAAAGTGTCCGGTGGCGGGAGCATTGTGGAACTCGCCAAGAAGCTGTGTACGCAAGTGAGGATCACTCGGTACGCAAAGAAGGTCCTTCCCCCGCGTGTGGACAAGCAAGTACCCCTCTTGGATCCGGTAGTGAGAAGGCTCCGGATTAGGAGAGGAGCAATTTGCGTACTTGTCGCGAAACTCGGGGTCGGCTTGGTAGCCGCGGATGACGTTGTTCCGCAAGTCATCGTCGATCTCGAAGGTTGAGTAGACCGCGGTACAGTGATCCGGACGCCGTGAAAGAGCATCCGCAAAACGGTTCGACTTCCGGAATGTGATCAGGAAAGAAGTCGAACAGGTCGATGAAAGCCATCCATCGAGCGATGGTGCTGTTGACGGTGTCTTGGGTCTTGTAAAAGACCAACGGATTGTTGTCCGTTACCCATCGAAATTGGCTTCGACCCACGGGGAAGTGCCGCCACCGCTTGAGCGCGTGGACGAAGGCGAGGAGCTCCTTCTTGCGTGCATCGTCAATGGAATGCACGTCGGGCACTTTCTTGCTGAAACACTCGACTCGGTGCCAGTCCACACCATCATGTTGCTCGAGGACTGCACCAATGCCATAGCCTGACGCATCCGTAGTGACGCGCATAGGGAAAAGCGGGTCGTATATCTGCAAGACCTCCGCAGATAATAGCGCGGCTTTGAGAGCCAAAAATGATTCCCGCGCCTCCTCTCCGAAGTCAAACGGTCGATCCTCGTATTGAAGCTTGGTCAAGTGGGTCGCGATCTTCGAGTAGCCTTTGATAAAACGCTGGTAGTAGCCGGCAAGGCCAAGGAACGAACGAACATCCATGACGTTCCAAGGCTCTGGCCACTCTTGGATGGCCTGAATCTTGTCCGATAGCGGATTGATGCCCTCCGGTGTGACAAAATGGCCCAAGTATTCCAGCTCTTGCCGGACAAATTCGCACTTGTCGCGGTTGGCCTTGTACTTGGCGCGGCGGAGCGTCTCCAACACTCGTCGAAGATGCCCAAGATGATCCTCCAATGACCGGCTATAGACGAGAATATCGTCTAAGTAAACCAGCACGAACCGGTCCAACATTGCACGAAACTCATTGGTCATTGCCGCTTGAAAGGTTGCCGGGGCGTTGGTGAGGCCAAAAGGCATGACGACCCACTCAAAATGTTCGTACCGCGTCTTGAACACGGACTTGTAGCGATCGTTCGGCCGGATCGAGATTTGATGATATCCCGATTTCAAATCCAACTTAGAAAAATACTTTGCGTCTCCCAGTCGCTCAAGAAGATCGTCGATGCGAGGAAAAGGCCCCGCATTCTTGACGGTTTGCTCGTTGAGCTTGCGGTAGTCGATACACAATCGTAGATCCTTGTTCTTCTTCCGGACGAAGAGGACTGGTGCTCCATATGGAGAGCTGCTAGGGCGGATCCAGCCCTTGGCCAACAAATCGTCGAGTTGTGCACGGAGGACCTCAAGCTCCTCCTCGCTCATCTGATAGATGCAACCTTTCGGCGGCACGGCACCGGCTTCAAGAATGATCTCGTGAGAGATCGGCCGATCCGGCACCACACCGGTAGGTGACTCGAAGATGTCGGCGAACTCGTCCAGCAACCGCACCACCCGGGGGTCCGAAGACAACTCCGTGGGTGAAGAGTCGGCTACCGCGACGGTCCGTAGGAAACGTAGGCCAATTTCCTCGGGCTGCTTGTAAGCGCAAGTCGCCCTTAATGATTTGGCCGTCACCACTTGGCACCGAATCGAAGGGTGCGGTAGAGGAATTGTACACGCCACTTCCGCGCCGAAGGCGTCGCGAACGCTAAGAGTCCGCCGGTGGAAGTTGACCGTGTGATCCGCACGTGCAAGCCAAGGCATTCCCAGAATGATGTCGAAGTCCGTGTCGAGAATATCGAATGTCACCGGTTCGCATGCATGAGGTGCGAAATAAACCGGTACGGCCTCGATGTATCGGTCGAGAAGTTGATGCGTTTTCCCATCCGCCAACTTGATCGCCGTCGGGTTTGCCTTCCTTCGAACTTGTGCCCTAAGGCCAGCCTTTTGCATAAAGGATTGGCTCATGAAATTGCGAGACGTGCCGTTATCCAGCAAAGCGCTGCAGGACGCTTGCCCAACTTGAATGCGGACATACATGAGCGGTGCGTTGTTGTCATCGTACCGCTGCGTGCGAGACTCGCGGGCCACCTTGGTAGTATACGCAAGGATGTCCCCCACCGCGACTTCGTCATCCGTCGGCGAAATTGGTGGTGCATAGAAGGATAAGTAAGTGTGGAGATGAGCGCATAGTGCTGCGCATTGCGGTCCTGGCAAGCGGCCCGTGGTCGGGAGAGGAAGCCATGCAAAGTCCTCGGACGTGAGCAGGTCCAATACCTCTATGTTGAACTCGTGCGTCGATTCCTATGAAGAACCACTTGAAGACGATATGTCGCCACTGCCGAACGGAGAAGAAACCGCACACACTTCTTGTCCTTGAGCTTGAGTACCCAGCATAGGAACGAGCTGGGCAGCATAGTCCTTAAAAGAAAGTACAAGAGGAGGACTATCGACTTTCGCATGCGCCTCGGAATGAAGGCCGGTTACTCACGAAGAAACCGGTTCCGGAGGCGTCGAGAGTATTGTCGAGTCACTCTCGGCAGTGCTCAGTTTCCCTGTTTGCCCTTGCCTTTCAATGGGCAGGCCAGTGTCTGATGAAGATCACTATTGCACCATAGGCAATAATGGAATCTCGTGCGCGCCTTGAATGCTTGCTCGGAGATGCCGTATTGAGACCAAGGGGCTGGAGCTGCTGCGTCGGGCCCGGGGCTAGATGCGGTGTGTGTCTTCGTCTTGCCGCGTCCTCGGCCTCTGCCGGGGCGGCCACCTTCCCGGACGGCTGCGAGTCTGTCTCCTTCATTGGCAGACACCTCCTCGCTGGTTTGGTCAAACGGCGTTGCCGCCGCGACCACGACCACTCTTGGCCGATGCTGGTCTCTGCTCGAGCCTGCCGCAGACGAACGCAGGTTCTTAGCCTCCTTGTTCGTAATGATGATCTGCGCGGCCTTGTCAAAAAGTTCCATCGTCGTCGTTAAGGTGTCCTCGACGTGAGTCAGGGCATTGCTTAATGCCGGACATGACCTTGAGATGAAATAGTGGCGGATGGCTTTGAAGCCCGTCTGGATGTCTGGGACTGACGTCAAGCGTTCGTACTCGGCGATCTAGTCGGTACTCGGCAGCGTGCCTTGTTCGAAGACCATGAGCTTGTCCATAGCCTTGATCTCCGGCGGCTCGACTTGGAACCGCTTGTCCCACGCCGCCTTCAGATCATCCCAACTGATCTTGGTGTGCAAGTCGGCAGCTACCACTCCGTACTTGGACAAGAGATTGTCCAACCAAGCCAGGCACACACCCCCTGAGCGAGAGTACAAGTATGCGTGGTGCTTGTGTTCTTTGACGTTGTGGAGCTGCAGCGTGAGCTCGAACTTGCGGAACCATGGGATCGGATCTGTCTTCATCGAGTCGTAGAAGATCTCCTGTCCGTCAAACTTTGGAGTTGTCTCGCGCGGTTCCGGACTCGAGTTGTTGGCTGCGGTACAGATCCGCTGTTCCAACTGTTGCGTTGCGGTCTGCTGTAACTGCACGCCGTCCTTGAGGGAGCCGACGTCCATCTCCAATGCTTCGAGGCGATCGGAGGTGTTGGAAGAGCTTGCATCGGGGGCGGTGACAAGTCGCTGCTCCAGCTGCTGGAGGCGACCTTGGACTTGAGCTAGCGAGTCGTCGAGGCTGTGGATATCCTCCTGTTGTGTAATGCAGGTTGCCAGGAGGTCTGTGAGATGCGAGAGGAGGAGAGCGATCTTGTTTTCGCAATCCTCGAACTTGCCATTCTAGGCCTCGGTCCGCCATTCCGCTGCCATTGTGAGCAAAGTCTGCTCTCCGCTAAATATCGTCTCACGACGTTGGTTTCTTTCTTCATCAGCAGCCCTTGCGGCTGCCTTGTCATGCTGGCGCTGTTGTTCAAGTGTCAGCAGACGTGCCTGCTCGGCGTCCTCTGCCTTCTTCTTCACTGCTGCTGCTGCGTCGTCTGCCCGTTTTTTTGTTTAGGTACTCCACGCCAACATCCGGGCCTGATAGGCCTCGTCTGCTTCTCCGGATCTCTGGTCCATGACAGTTGTTTGTGACCGCAACAGCATATACCAGGCCGGGGGCCTGCTGACGTGGTATTTCCTACTCTGTCGGCTGACGTGGCCTGCTGACGTGTCCTGCTGACGTGTCCTGCTGACGTAGTTTGCTGACGTGGCCTGCTGACGTGGCAACTCACCAATGCCGTCGCAGGGGGTACCCGGAGATGGATAGAGAAGGTAAGGCCAGAGGGGGCAACAACAAAGGTGGGGAGGGTGGGTGGGGAGAATCGCCCAGATAAAGAGCCACTAATCAAAAAAGAAAAGTTTGAACTTTGCAAAAAAAAATTCGAAATAATAAAATCCCGAGTTTTGCAAGTTCAGTAGGTCTCCCAACCTCCTTTGAAGTGCGAAATGATCAATGAGAGAAAAAAAATTCGACTTCAGACTGCAAATGATTTATAGAACTGACTGACAGAATCCTAGAACTGCGGAAAAAAAAATTTCCGAAAAGAAATAAAATATTCGGACTTACTCAGATGAGAGCATTCGCAGTTTGGAAAATAATACCTACAGGAGGGATTTCCCGTACCGTTTTCAGAAAAACGAAATTCGAAAAAGAAGATATTCCGAATCTCTAAGTAACTGGAAATGCAACAGGAAATCGAAATTTTCGAAAAGAAGAATATTCCGGATTTTTTAACAACGAAATTTTGAATTTTCAGAGGAAAATCGAAAATGGGAGTTTCATATGTTGCGCTATTACGATTTTCCACAAGAGAATAGCGAGAAAACAGAATCCAAGAAAAGACAAAAAAAAATCGATTTTCGGCAGTAAGGTCAAAATCGTGATCTTGGGGTCTAACTAGTGTGCTCTAATCAATCAGTAAAGACTAATCAGCTATCTAGTCCCCGCACCCGTGTCAGATCAGGTTGTCCTGATTCACGTGCGGCGTTCCGATACCAACTGTTACATGCCCAGTTGGGCGATGTACATAGAAACCGAGGATCCCCAATGTGATGAAAAGGACTGAATGGACAATGCAGTGCAAGTAGGATCTCAACAAGCAATGTGCAT